CGCCGCGCGCGGCCGTGGCGGCCGTTGGAGCGGCCGTTGCGGAGCAAGTGCCACCAAGTAGACCCCCCACACCCCCACCACGTCCTCGGCATGGAGGGAACGCAGGTGAACGCAGGTGAGCGGCAGCGAGCAGCCGTGCCTCGCGTGGCCAAGGACTCACCGTCTTCCTCGGAGGCGGCGGCATCTCCCGAGAGAGCTCTCGGCATGCAGCATCCCGAGGAAATCCCGGTTATTGCCACCTAGCTGGGAAAATCCTGGCACCATGGGCATGCAGGCAGCAGCTGCCACACCTGAGTTACCCAGAGCAGCAAAAACGCGTGGATTTGTGACTATGTCCCAGAAGTCACTGGAAAGGAAGCCAGAAATGTAGTTTTTCTTCTCATGGGAAGGTGATTTAGAGGGGAGAGCATAACAATTATGGTCACTAGCCAGCATGAGTGGGACCTGCAGGGTGTCAGTGAGGGGTTTGGCTGCCCTGTTTCTAACACATTTCTAACCCCATAGAAGAGTGAAAGGCAATCTGATCAATACACTCCTCAGTGTTGCCACAACCTTGGCACTAGCTCACCTCAAAAGTTTCTCTGCCATGTGGCTTTCACATCAGAAACCAGGAATTACTACTGAAAAATACAGCCAGGCCAGCAGTCTGGGCCCTTCAGCCACTCCCAAAGCAAGAAAAGCAGAAAGACCATTTGGGGCTGCCGGGCACTTCTTGGATTCAGAAAGTGACCCAATTAAAATATATTGTCATGAAGACTAGAATGATTTTGCTGAACTCGTGACCCTGAGAAAGACTGGAGAGAAGTATACACAGCTGAAGCAGCTCTTTGCTGCTAAGTTGGGAGGAGTTTGAGGTGCAGCATAATACTGAGTGATGGGAGATTTCACAGAGTGTATGAATCTTGGAATACTTAAGAAACAGCAACAAAAAGCAAACTCTAGGTACACGGTAGAAACATCCAGAGCATTCTCGGTTTGGACATTACTTCTTTCTTAATTAATGGGTTTTACTCATTAAAACATGGCACACAATTTCATAATCCTTTTGTAAGCTCCAAAAATGAGCTTCCAGCATGCAGAAGGCATATCTCATGGGAATTAAAGCTTTAGTAAGAAGAAATCCATATACACCTAAAAAAAAAAGTACAACTAAAAATAAAAAAAAAATTTTTTTGTTTGAATACTGCAGACCGTAAGAAAAATTAGCTGCCCTATCAAAACTGACCTACCTAATTGCATCTGATCCTTCTACTACATATCTTGTTTAACAGCATATGGCATATTTTGATGGACAAAGTGGCATTGTCACCCTTTAGGCCAGATTTCAAGGTGGAATGTCACCAATCCAGAGAAAAATGACAGGCTTTTTATTATATTTTCTGTTTATAACTTTGGTTTAAAACCTCAGTAACACTTCAGATGCACATAATCTTTATTGAAACTGGCTTGATGCGGATTACACCCCAAAGCACAAAGGAAGTCTTTATCACTTATGGCTAGTGTTTTAGGAGCTTATAACTGTAATCAGGTAGGGATTATATCAGCATGATCCATATTAGCTGAACCGTGACAAAAAGCTTTTTTAAAAAACAAAAAGAAGGCGTGACAATATTATTAATAAAACCAAAACCCACAGGTGTCAATAGAGAATGGACTCGCAATCAACTGCAGTCAGAGGACACTGCTCTCTTTTTGGGGGAAAAAATAGTCATTAATTAGTGGAAGCAGATCCTTATTCAGTGCATTGTTATCCAGGATTATTTCATTAGGATCTGCTGACCCAATTTCTGCATCGGAAAGGAAATTACATTTTTTCACACTAGGGGAAGGGGCAGGGGGAAGAAATTAATAACACAGATTACTCAAACTTTTAAAAATATTGAAGCTAATGAGAAGCTAATGAGAGCTAATGAGAAGCTGGGCTGGTACCTGTGGTATCTTTGCAAAAACCACAGTGGAAAATGAAACCTGGAGCATCACGAATATGTAATCATGTCTCCATCAAAATCGGATTTTGGTTCCCTTAAAATACATAATTCCTAATTACAACATATGGAATCCAGCTAATACAGCCTCATGACTATGGGATTTAGGGAGCAGGAGGAATTTTTTTGTTAGGGCTGTGATGGTCCTCTCCAGTATGGGTCATCCTCAGCTTACAGCTCCCACAATCTCCCCAAGGGTACCTGAGTTATATAAATTAAAGCTGCATTTGGATACCTTCCCCAATGCACAAAGGATTCACTTCTTCTTAATCTGTTAAAATCCAATAACCTTAAAGCAACTGGAACCTGCTTTCTGCTTGCTGTGTTTTTCTGAACAGAACAGGTTGTCCCCACCATCCTGGCAGCAAGGTGGGAAGGAGCTGCAGGAAGAGAAAAGCAGGGAAAACCCACCTCAATTCCCACAGTGCCAAAAAGGGTGGCTGAAAAAATCACTCTCGCTTGAGTGCTTTACGCCCAGCGCCGCTGCTGGGGAGCCTGGGATGCTGTCCCGAGTGGCTCTCATTCCCGCAGCTCAGCCCTTCCTTGCTGCCACAGCTGCTTTTCCTGCAGGAAATACAGAAACACGTAAGCTGAGACTTTTCTACCCCCAAACCCTTCCTGCTTGGCCTCACACACCATCTGAAAAGGGACAAGACCACAAGCTGCTCCTCTATAGCTGGGGCCAGCAGACAGCTAAGACAAGACCACCCAAGGGAACCAGAGCACCCCTCCTGCTCCTCCACTTATTCCCAGCCTGCAAACTCCCCCCCCACACACACACACACAGACAGGTGTCCCCCCTTCCTCACAATCCTCTCATTTGTAAAGTGTTTTCACCTGGCAATCACATAACAAGGCACCAAGGAAGCACCTTGCAGCTAAGGGGACATGTGTGTACTGGCTGCTGCATTATAGCACTGCTACTTTTTAAACAGGTAGCTCTTCTTTGCTGCCTGTGCAGCAGTGCTGGAGAGAGCTGTGTGCTCCCAGTGCTTCCCTGGGAAGGCGAGAACCCACAAAGCCCATAATGACCCCTGGCAGAGCCCTCTGGACGCCTGCAAGCGCTTTGGGAGAGCTGTGCCCATGTTTCCCTTGCTCTGATTTCAGCCCAGTAAATAACACTTCTGTGCTGAAGGCAGCAGTCTCGACAGGCCTCTGCTGCAAACAGTGTGTGGGGACCTGTTTCACTTAGACTCCTTATTCCCTTTAAGAGCAGCCCTGTCAGAGAAGCTGGCATGGATGCCTCACTGGCGACCCAAGGGAAGCAGCTACCCGAATCCAGAGTTTCTCAGGAGAGGTGAAGCAGAGCTTTCCCAGTGACTTCTCCAGCCTTATACATACTCACCGCCTTCAATGCAGCACCCAGTGGCACTGCAATGCCCTGCAGCTGCTGGCCAACTCTAGAATATATTCCTAATTTGCTGTTAAAGTGAAAGCAGTGAGTGGAACAGCTAAGGCAACAGCCTCTCTGGGAGAGGACTGGAGTCAGCCAGAAGTGAAGGGATTGGTGCCGATGGGGGGGAAGGCTCCCAACGCACGGCCCGGGGCCGGAGCAGAGGATGCTGCGAGCCCTTTCAGCGGCCGTGAACTTGCCTTGTGGCCCCGCGGGGCCGCTTGGCAGGCGCTGGCCGTGCCAGGGCCGGCGGGGGGTCTTGTGCAATGCTGCCTCCGCGGAGCCGGGCCGCTTCCCGCGCCGCTGCCGGCCCCCGCTGCTCGCAGAAGAATTGCGCCCAAAGCGCCGCATAGCGATGCGAGTGCATCACGGGGCGCGAGACCGCCGGCTTAACCGCCGCTTCACTTGGGCGCGTTTGTTTGTGAGTTATGTACGTGCCTTTCTTTTGTCAACATCTCCTTCTGAAAAGGATATTGATTTTGTTTTCAAAGGCTCGCGAAACTAAAATGAATGACTACATT